GAACTATATTGTTTCTGTATTGTCTCCCATTATATTGTAAAGCGCTGAGCAAACTGTTGGTGCTATATAAATCCTGTATAATAATAATAATAATAAGAAGAAGAATTTGTAGATTGGCCAAGGGAAGAACTGAACGCAGGGTCTTGGGAAACCTGAAAAAAATAAGTAATCATGTGTGGAAGTCATTTAAGATCATAAAGTGGTTCTAAAGGCAGAACTTCTTTACCTTAATGTATTCCCTACATTAAGGTAAAACATTTTCCAGTATTTGTATTGCCCCTCGCCCCTCGTTATATGTATTTGAGTCCTATCTCAATCCAGCACTGTCCCCATCTTCGGGGGCACGTGTCATTGGCTCCCTCTGCTATCAATCAAATACTGTGGGTGGGCGGGGCAAGGCTGACCTGATCTGTGAGTGTCAATGGATGCACACAGCCCAGCTTGGGAGTGAGGCTGCAGGTGTGCCACCATAACCTTTCTACATTGGCACACAGAGAAGAGAAGGAGCCTGGAGCACTGGCAGTGGACTGCAGAAGAGAAGTATAACATTTTTACAAAAAAAAAAAACATAGTCTTTACGAATGGTTTATAATTTTTAGTAAGAATTGGGCACAGTATGGGTTTGGATAGTAAAACAGATATCTCCTATTGACATCTGCAAATTAATCTTGGAATCTTAAATGATGGGAATAGGATACATTGATAAAGTAGCTGATATTCTGTAATACCACTCCTGATAGTGTTTAGAATTAAATGTAACTTAGTAGTATGTATACGTTACATTTCTTGTAAGAATGCTATATTACAAGAAGTGTGATATCATTCTCTCATAAACTGATTTCTCCTGCCTGGGGTGTTGAGTGCCCTCACATTTTAGGAATTTATATTAATTGTTGACAGTATATCACAAGAAACCTTTGTGATTCACAAGGGCCATCTCCATAACTTACATTTGACTCTTTCAACAGGAGGAAATGGGTGGGGGGGCAAGACATACATTGTTCTGTTTTTAAGATGCCCCTTTATGCATTAACATACCTACATAGGTCTAGTCTGACTGGATAGTGTGATTGTCTGCTGCCTTGGCACCATTTAGCAGCTTAACACTTCAACAAGAAACAGAACTTGCATGGAATGCAATTTTACTTCAGGTAAATGCAGAACAGAGACATGTTCCCAGTCTTTTAAAGTGTGGAAAGACAATGACTTTCCTAAGCCCTGTCTCTGTGAAGACTAACACTTACTGGGGGGACATGGAATAAACCTTGAGGGTCTGGCTAGGAATGAACTAACAAGAACTTAAAAGAAGGAGAGGACAGAGGGGATACCAATTCAGACAAGTAAAAAAGCTGTGGTGGCCCCAAACCACCACTAGATGTTAGCATACATCAAAGCAATAGTAATCTGATGCAGTTTAATTCAACACAGAAATAATACATGTAAGTGGGACAGAACCTACATAAAGAAGACCAATTAACAAACTAATGCAAATCAAGATACAAATAAAAGTAGTAAACTCTAAGTTATAAACTGTACTTTGAGTGCATATTTGTAACTTTATTCCCAACTTGGGGGGAAGGGGGTGTTCTGTGTGCCAGAGTTGTAACTGCCTCTCTGCAAGGGAAAGTATCCTCTGAATACTGGTGTACAAGAAAGTGGGAGAATAGACAGTCTTGAGCATCACTCTAGGACACAATATTTTAGGAATCTGAGTGCTTTATAGTAGGCTTAGTGGCTGTCCATGTGAACAAGAGGGCAGATTATTAGTTGAAACCATCATGAACCTCATTGACTGATGAGTGGTAGGGTAGGCAGTGAAGGTTTTATTGTTGTGTAGCAACCCTCCCTGTGCAGTTGTGTCTCTTTTTAAGGTCACTGTGTATTTTTCCTGGGCTGTAATCAGCCTGACCTTTTATTTACCATTTTCATTGGTTTTCCATAAGACTGGTGGCTGATTGTTTCAACCTATTGCTTGGAAGTGTCTACAGTAATCAGTGTGCTATGGATTAACCACTAAATCATGAATATTTACTTGACAGGTATGGTCTGGGTAGATTATAAATGTTTTGAAGCACCTTCCCAGATTTCTTTGTCCTGTATAAAAAGGTCTTTGTAAAAAATTGCTGTCAGGGCTTGGTCTCAGCCTGAGCCATGTACTGAGGACCCTGGATACCAAGCCACTTGCTGGAGTGCATAACTGAAGGGTGATGAACTGAACAGAAAAGCTCTTGCCTGAGGAGGATTGCCCAGGAATTGAGTAGAAGCTGCCATCTGGCAATTTGAAAAAGGATTGTAGCTCATAGACTCAGGTATTTTTGTCTGCTTACAAAGAGACAGAAGTCACATTTAGGAGAAGGAAAACAGTGACTCTTCACAGATGTATCTGGCTCTCCTCTGTTCATCAACATCCATTTTTAGAGGTCGCTCTCATATGACCTTATGGTGATTTAGTATATCTGCCTTCCCATTTTGTGCTTTTTTGGATATCCTCCACCCGTAAACCTTCTTTCCAGATTGAGTGCTGCAGTAAATGGCAAAAAGACCCAAGTGACTGGAGTCTGATTACACTGTTCAACAAATTTTTATTTTTTGCCAGTTTTGGAAACAAAAGGATCCATTTCTTAATGAATTTCACATTCTGAGTTCAAATATAACAATGAAATTTGTCAATTGGCTCTAGTTTTTCTGTAAACGGAAAGTTTTCTACTATAGGCGTAATGACTACATAATGCACAATAATTATATAGATAGATGTCTTTCCACAAATATAAAGCAAGTGATATTGACTACATAACAAAGCCTAAATGGCATAATATATTGCATAGGATTACCAAGAAAAATTATAGCCATAAGCTAAGTTGAATCATTTTAATACTTAGGATTCTCACTAGTTTTGTCTTCAGTTTGTGTCGGTTTTGCTTCTCTTGGCTTTTCTCTTGTATTCGAGGAAAGGGCTACCTCTTACAACTTCACGTGACTACACGCTTCAGGTTCTTCCTCACTTGACTCAACCACGAAGGATTCTGGTGCTTTAGGAATTGATAGCCCCTCTCCATGAGGAACTGGACGTATTGCCCATGGAATATTTGGATAGTGCACAGATAACTTTTTTTCTTCTTATTTAGCCCTTTTACAATTGGAGGCACCATACAAAAGTAACAATTACTAACATGATCTGTTGGCTCTCTCCAAATCATTGGCACAGCGAAAGGCATAGATGCCTTTTTTCCATTCAACCATTGCTCCAGTGCCGTCCCACAAGAATTGCAGCATATATGTGGTGCCCAGCTCTTGTCCTGGTCTCCTATCTTGCAGCCAAAATACAAGTTGTAGGCTTTCTTAATCATTCCTGTTATCCTCCTTTTTTGTGAGATAAAAGTTATTTCACCGCAGATATAGCAGAAATTATCTGCTTTATTCACACAAGTTCGAGGCATTACTGAGTAGCCTATATAAGCATAAAACGAAATGTAAAGACGCTGTCGAACTACAATCAGCTACAGATACTGCAGCTTTTATGCAGTGAAGTGATGCAATTAAAGGCTAATATTGCATCATCTCAGTATACATGCAATTTTCTATTGGTCACCAGTATCAATTGCGCAATATGCAGCTGAAGTTGCATCATAATTTTGAATGGCTTACGTCATTAGATGGGTGAATATATCATGGAAACTAGAGCCAATCAACATTTTTTAGGGTCATTTTCGTTTTCAGCACCCCAAAATTATGTAAGATTAGCTAATTTTATGCCCAAAACTTTTTACCTGTTGAACAGTGTTATTGTCAGAGGTTTGGCGGTGAGTTGTTGGGTCTAGATACAGGGCAAGGAGCCACAGGACAGGAAGGAGAACCCAATTATTTTTAAACAACTTCCTAGGGAGTCATCACAACAGTAACAATTGTAAATAAACTCCCTTGAAGTGAAAATGTGTATGAAAGTGATGAACGTTCTATGGGTAGCAGAACAAGGCGCGTAAGAGTTTAATGTTAACTGAGTAAGTAGATGTGTCAGTGGAAAGATGTGTTGAACTCTCAATTGTAAGAATAAAAAGAAAGAGGATCATATGAAAACATATATATTTTGAAGTAAAAATTGGATTTATCTCACCCAGTTAAGAAGTTGGTTGTTCCTGAATGTTTGTGGCGATTCTTTTTGGAAGGGGTTTTCTGCCCTTGACAATCAGGAAGTAGTGAATAGGTAGGTATCAGGTCTTTGGCCATCCCTGCAAATGTCAAGGTTGATGCAGAATTGGTTCAGTTCCTTTGGGAATCTAGGACTGTAGTCATGACTATCTTTGCAAGCTAAAAGACAAGATGGGAAACCCCATCTTTAGGTGATGTTTACTATGCAGAATGCAGCCAGCAGTGGGCAAAAATGTCATCTTCTTTCCAGAGTTTTCCTTGCAAGGAATATATTGTGGTATCTCCATTACAGTCAATTGTAGAATGTTCTTTCAGTTTTTACTTGATCCCTTCTTTCTCCTCATAATATTAGAGATGGCAGGTTGCATCTCTGGAGTAGTCAGCAATTAACCTCCCTGGCGGTATGATTATTTCAGATTTTTGGTGCTGAAAGCGGTACCATTTTTTTGCATGGAAATATGTATTTTTTTTATTGTAGGCTGTAATTTTTAGGAAAAACTCACTGAAATCTGTCCGAACAAGAGTCTAGTAAACATCCCGGGTATGATAAAATTTGAAACACAAAATCATAAATTATAATTTAATAAATAATCATAAAAATAATAAAAAATTTAATTCAATAATATAATCAAACCAAAAACACTGAAATGTGAAATAGAGCGCCAAGTTCGCACATTGCTGAGCTCAGTCGCAAAATCGTTTTCAGTTTCTGATGACGAATTTCCCCCACGAATCATTATCACTCAATTCTGCAAGTGGTTCTGATTTACTATCGCTGTTCTCTAGCTGATCTAAACCGCTTTTGACCTAAAGGGACACTTTTTGGACGCCATGGACATTTCTCAGTTTCCAGGCAGAAAGAACAGACAAAATGCAGGCAGGGCGCAGGACAAAGCACTAGGGACAATATGTATGTGAAATAGGTTGAAACAGCAATGTTTTACTGTGTAAAATGTAAATGTAAAAAAAAAAAATGACATTTTTTAAAATTTTTAAATTTCCCGCCGCCGGCGGCGACGGCGGCTCCCATACGTCCCGACGTCACAGGGACAGGACACAGAAGCCGGATGCCGGCATCGGCCGGAGGAGATGGCCGGGGACGCTGCAGGGGACACATCGTGGGAGCGCAGGGTAAGGTAAGTGAAGAACACATGCCGGAGCAGTGCCGCAGGGTAAGCCCGAGTGTAGCTCGGGGTTACCGCTTTTGGTACTGAAATGTTACCCCGAGCTACACTCGGGAATACCGTCAGGGAGGTTAAAGTGGTTGTAAAGTATAATTTTTTAAAATTAACAAACATGTTAAACTTTCCTGCTCTGTGCTATAGAATTGCACAGAGTGGTCCTGATTGTCCCCCCTTGGTGCTCCTGGCTCCTCCTCATCTTGATGTGCAGCCATAAGAAGCTGCTTCCTGTTGTGGCACAACTGTGGGCTCGATTCACTCAGGCCTGCCCCTATCTCCCTTGTCACAGGATTTGACTGGCTCCCGCTGTCTCAGCAAAGCCCGTGAGAGCAGGGAGAGCCACTAGAGATGGGCATAGCACTGGATCAAGTGAGGGCTCAGGTAAGTATAAAGGAGGGTGAGGGAGAGATACTAATACCCAAACATTTTTTTTACCTTAATGCGGAGAATACATTAGCTAAAACATATTTAGGCTTAGAACCACTTTATGTTAAAATACTCTGTGTGCACAGTCAAAGGGGAGAGGGTCTGCTAATGGTCTACAGAGAATGGTGTTAAAAATTAATTGTAAGGTATCAGTCAAGTCTTCATTTCTTGTGACCTCAGGCAAGCTGTGGACACGAAGATATTTTTTCAGCGGCTCATGGTATGTAATAGCCATACTGCAACTTGTAATGCTGTGATTACATTGTATAGTCATCCATTCTGCTTTTTGCTTCCTCCAACCTAGTTAGCATCTGGCTAAGGTCAGTGCATATGGCAGACATTTCCACCTTGTTTTCAAGTTTAGACAACAATGTCAGGAGAGCTCTAACTAATTCTGCCATATCCACACCATTACCATTTTCTTTATCCAGCAGGGTTTCAGGCCATTCAGACAGAGGAGTGTCTCTGAGCTCTATGTATCTACTGTATGTGGTGAGTCCTCCTTCTGTAGAGATTCCTTTGCATCAATGGACAGGAAGCTCCTTTTTGATCCCAAATTCGGTGTCTGTCGTACTTCGGTAATTATTATTAGTGAGCCTTTTTCTTAGACAATAGCAGATATGAATGTCAGAAACTACCCACGTTTATCTGACCTGATAAAAGATTTGTTTTATTTTCTTCTACACTGATTATTGCAATGTCAGGCAAGTTACCCACATGTAGTAACTTTCTCCAATCAGAGGATACAGGAGAATCAAACTTGTTCAGTTTTCTCAGTTTAGTTTTTGATACTTGTAGTATATTTTGTGGAATTGCTTTCACACCATACACTGACAGTTTGTGCTAAAACTATTTGTGATGGGCAAAAGCTGAATTTTGAGTATTTTGGACGATTAGTTATTACAAGCACATGTGGAGCTTTGCCTATGTAAGCCATAAAATAATTTACAATGATTTGATAATACCTAACTTGTTTTAACAGCATTTGTACACTCTAAGTACACATAGCTTTTGTCCTTCTCAATAAATGATATTAATAACTTTTAATATCATTCAGTAACTGAGTTTTACCTTAGTAACATTAAACAAAAGTGCGCAAGAAAGCTAACATACCCACAAAGAAATAGGAAATAAAACACAGCTTTAGAGACGAATAAAATCCTTAAGATGAATGTGAGACGGGTACTTCTTAAAATGCATGTTTCTGTAAGGGATTTCAATCCCGTTGGGGACAATAGGAAAGCCTATATGTTAGCAAAGGAAATTTTAATCTGTTGGTAACTTGAGAATCAATGAAATGTACACGTCTGTAAGGAATAAAAATATTCCACTATAAATATGGTATAGAACAAATCATGTTCTTTATCCATCAGTTTTCTACTAATTGAACATAGCAAGGTGAGGAAGGTTTCCATCTCACTTTGGTAAAACGCTAATTGCCGATGGCACCACTGAGCACGGACACCAGTTTAAAGGTTTAGTCAACATGTTTTGAGTTCTGGTTTGAGGAAATGGCAAAGGTTAACAGAAGGTTATATCCAGTTTAAAGTTTCTCTTTCATAAGACCAAGGGATTATCCCACACAATCCACAAGCCATTACAGAGTGAGGTGCAAAACCTCTGTACTCAAATGACAGGGAGCTATAAGATACTCATATTTGCTATCATATTTTTTGATCATAAATATTACCATATTATAATAACAAGCCAACTCTGCATTTTTCTCACATTAATATCAAAATCTACCATTGCTGCTGCATGGATGCTATACTGTGCTTCCTTAAAGTGGTTGTAAACCTCAGATATGAAAAATTATCAAAGCATTGCCCTTTATAGTGTGTATTTGCCTCAATACATAACACTAAGTATCATTCCTGTCTGCTGCCTTGTTCAAAATATCAAAATCTACCATTGTTGCTGCATAGATGTTATTGCTTCCTTAAAACATTTTCATTAAAATGGTTGTAAACCTCAGAAATGAAAAATGATCAAAGCATTGCCCTTTATAGTGTGTATTTTCCTCAATACAGAACACAAAGTATCTTTCCTGTCTGCTGCCTTGTTTAAAATATCACAATCTACCATTGTTGGTGCATAGATGCTATACTGTGCTTCCTTAAAACATTTTCATTAAAGATGGTTGTAAACCTCAGAAATGAAAAATGATCAAAGCATTGCCCTTTATAGTATGTATTTGCCTCAATACAGAACACAAAGTATCTTTCCTGTCTGTTGCCTTGTTTAAAATATCACAATCTACCATTGCTGGTGCACAGATGCTATACTGTGCTTCCATAAAACATTTTCATTAAAGTGGTTGTAAACCTCAGAAATGAAAAATGATCAAAGCATATCCCTTTATAGTGTGTATTTGCCTCAATAAAGAACACTAAGTATCATTCCTGTCTGCTGCCTTGTTCAAAATATCAAAATCTACCATTGTTGCTGCATAGATGTTATACTGTGATTCCTTAAATCATTTTCATTAAAGTGAAATTAAATATGATCAAAGCATATCCCTTTATAGTGTGTACGTGCCTCAATACAGAACATTAAGTATCATTCCTGTCTGCTGCTTTGTTCCTCTACTACCTGCATGAGTAACTTCTGACAAGTTTTCCTGACACCAAGAGCTAAAAAGGTGACAGGGAAGGGACCTTCAGGAGAGTGGCGGTCTAAGCTCTGTTCATGTGTACTGTGTGGAGGGGGGGGGGGGTGTTTCTTCCCATCAATCAGCTCTCAGAGCTCCCCTCATTGAGCTCTGCAGTGTGTAAGCTCTCTGTCCCCTTTTTTTGAACTCTCAGACAAGCTGCACCTTGAAAACAGATGAGAAGAGAAGACTAGATAGACAGGTACAACTTATGTAGGATGATTTGTTTCATCTCTGTGTATCACCTGAAACCAGTTATTTCAATGGGTATATATGAGTTTACAACCAGTTTAATTTTTTTCCCAGAGTGCAAATGAGTAAGAATCTTTGCAAACAGATCTGGTAAATTGGAACTAATTTTGTATCTGTAGATTACCAGGTCTAAAGTCAATATGTGAGACAAAATGTGCATTGACATGAGTCAGTCAGCAAGCAAGATGCTTATGCACATACATGTAGGATGAGTAATGAAATACACGAATATATAGTACTGAAGCAATGCACAAAATTGAGATGCCAGAGATGAGACAAGGATAAGCAAAAGGATATTAGAGATTAGATACAAGCCTGGTCAGCAACAAGATATTGGTTTAGCAGCTGGAGTACAACTGCAAAAACAAGAAGATATGATCAAACTGCCTAGTAGCCAGATAGGCAAGCCAAGTACCAATGCTGTAGCTAAAGACCAAAGTAGAAGAGTTCTTATACTGACTGTCATGTACTTTACCACCTTGGCATGCATATTTCACATCTCTGCACATTTCAATGTTTTCATCTTTTGGTTCTGGCAGAAAGTTCTCTTGCATAGCTTGTGTCTGTGATTGGAGAGGAACCATTGTCTCAGATAGCTAGTTCAAATATGTTGTTAAATAGGACTTTTTGGTAACTTTAAAAGTCTGCATATTTGGAGGCTATGGGATCAATTTCCCTATAGCAAATTTTCTTCTTCCCCCTCTCCACCCTCTTCAGTTATATAGCTCAGATAGTCCGGATTTTTCCCTAAGCAATATACCTTTGACAAATAATGTAATCTAATGATGTGCAGGTTTATGTTGATTTATGCTTTCAAACTATACAGATTGACATGCTGTTCACTTATGTTCATTATTTTCCTGATTCTGTTTCTCCTTTGTCTACGATAGATTTCTTTCATGGCAATGTTTAAATGTTACTTGTTGTAACTATGTTGTGTTGCTTATAAATAATAAATCGGTGTCTACACTAATACTCTCTATAATACCCTGTGAAACAATACTAAAAAGTCCTACTTTCACCCTTGAAAGTATAAATCAATTGTAATAAAACCTTTTTAGTGTCCATCAAATTATGTGAAACAAAACCCAAAATAAGTCCATAAATCTTTCTCCACTTTCTGTAAAAATCGCCGTATGATTCCAATAATTGCTGTGTATTTCAAAACAAAGAAAACTCAATAGTGCATTATCCTCAAAAAATTATTAAATACATAAACGATTACCCAAAAAAAATCCTCATTGTTCCCGTGAACCAAAACACACGAATCATGAAAACACTTGTGATAGTGAAACACTCTGTGTAGTATTTATATATACACTTCTCCGTGAACATTCAGTGTACACATCTAAGTGCTGAATCACATACCCTTACCCTAACGTGAAATAAGCAAGCCTTATATGAATATAGAAATCTAGAGAGGGATATACATCAAATGGAACCACATGGATGCCTTCAGATCCCTCAAATGTTCACTCCAATACTTCTACCTTCTTATGCTCCATAGTATTAATAGAGGGAAAAACAAAGCCACATAGTGCAATATGTATGAAGGTATAAAATCCACACTTTAATAATATCTGCTTACATATAAATCATTTAAAATATGCATTAAAATCCCATGACTCCACCTCAAGCAGCATCCAGGAATGCCAGACTGTGTTTACCATACTAAAGATGGCCGCTCCGCTATTTCTGATTTTTCAGG